GTCTTTGGTAAAATCTATATTTTAATCTAATTCAAAATTAATAATTAATTTTAATTAAATATTTTATGAAACCCACAACTTTTCAACCACACATTTTTGTTTGTCAATTTTTATCAGAATCTACTAAAAATCTTATTGTAATTCCCAACAACAAACAAGGGATTAATATATTCATTGGATTAACCTTTCTAATTTTTATTAAAAAGGAATAAAATCGATCCAAAACTTTAACAAGAAAAAAGAAAAATAACAACTTTGATATTTATGCATCATCAAATTTTTAATATATTTTTTGCATTACAAAAATAACATTTTAACCCAATATAACATAACTTCTTAGGGATGAATAAAAGTCCTATCCCATCTTGACTATTATTTCTTATTATTATTATTTTTTATATTTTTAAGGTCAAATTGTATTTTAAAAATTAAATAAGTTAGAGGTGGTAAAAGAGGGTATTTTAATATTACCCTACTGTTACGCAGCCATATGCCTATTGCCTTAAATCCCTTGCCGGACAAAAGTGGGGGCTTGCCCTAGTTGCAATATTTATAACTATTACGATTACAAAAACATAAATATCGAAGAAAATACAATTTTATTCAAGATTATTAAATAAATTTAATAATATTTATTAAAATAGTACTCAATAATAATTTCAAATTATATTATAAATACCAAAGGGTAAAACAAAAAATAAAAATATACTTTTAACCAAAATATGGCTTTGAAAATTGAATCGAAACCAAAACATGTTCAATATATGGGCCGTTATCTATTATGGTATTATAAGTTTATGTCAAATTATCCTTTTAAGAGTTCAAAATTTATTTTTCTTAAATCTATTTATTTGACTGTATATTTTAACACCTATAATTTATAGGAATAACTCCTAATATTTCGACAAAACATATATAAAACCATCGAGTAACAAATTTTTTAATTCAATAATTGTATTATTCTAATCCCTTGAATACAAATTTCTTCAAACAACCAAATAACAAGTCTCCATAGATAAACAACATGAAATTTGTAGACATAAAAAGTTATAACTGTTCGTATACTGTATATAATTCTGGTTGAAGAAAATAAATAAAATGAGGGAAAGAGATGCAAGAAATTTATTAAGCTCGACGAGTTTGGAGGGAGAAAATAAAATGTAGAAAGTTTTTAGAAAACTTTTAAATGCCCTTTGATAGGTGTATTTTCTACAACTATTTGGACTGTCAAAAGTGAATATTTAAAAGATGAATTGATAAAATTAATATTTAATTTGGTTAAATATCAATTATTGTAGGATAAACTCGAGTTTGGATGGCTTTTGATCAAAAGAAGTGATCATCGATCAAAGAAGGGTGAAAATGAAGAATTTTAGGGATTGTTCTCTTCGTGTTTCAATTTTGTTGTTTTGAGTTTTGAATTCATTTTGGTTTTGTATTTTGAGTGCCTGTTTTAAAATTGTTGAAAATACGTTCTCTTTATCATTCTAAAAAACTGCTTTTGAAAACATAAAATTGAAAAACGCATTTACTTTGAAATTTTGAGAATATTTTTTTATAATATTTTATTAAAGAAATATGATTATTCAATAAATTTTAATAATTTAATGTTAATAGAGTATTAAATAACATATAAATTTTGTTTGTATTTGGTATTTTGTTGCCAAAATTCCTCTGCAGCACTATCTTTGTTAGTATCTGGATCCCATGTAACACCTATATGTACCAAAAGTTCAGAGAACATGCGATGAATCTTACGCAAGCGGTTCCACTTTCCCTTTAATCTATCTATATCGTAATCCATTTTTGCTGAAGCTAACATGATTTCATTAATCCTGCCTCATTCGTCTTTCGTGAATGTAAAACATTGCAATGCGTTTGATTTCAATTTCTCATAAACAATTTCAATAAAGGCGTGTTCATTCTCGTCCGACCATTATATTGATTCCTTAATACGAACTCTGTGACCATCCATATTAAAGCTATATTGATAGACATCAAATTACATCAAATCTATAAGACCTTCTGTAAGCGATTTAAGGACATATTAATATATTTAATTATAGTCACATACTACCAATTGCTCAAAAGTCTTCAAGTTAAATGTCAAATAGCAAAAACATACCTAACTTACTACCAATAATATATTTTACAAAATTTCCAATAAAATTATATTGTCTCCATTTCCTTGTGTACAATCTATGTACAGATAATAAATTCCAAAGGAAAACATCACTATTTTAGCAAAACCCAATTAATGCACTATGCTTTTTAGCAAATTTACAAATTATCAATAGACCAAGACAATTAGAAATGACTACAGTCAGAGTGTAGATGAATTACATAAACGAAATTACATACTCCTGTAAGTTTCATGTATGACCCTCAACTCACACTGATATCATGATAAATTTTTTCATGATCCATGTACTACTGGAATATACTTGTTTCTATGATCAGACAAAAAGTTGAGTAAACAGCAAAATCTAAATGTTAAAAATGTGTTATAAATCCTCAAATATCCTTTTATAGAGCATTAGTAGTGAACTCTTTAGGCAGACAGAGAGGGAGGGGGAGAGAGAGAGGATATTGTGTTAGCAAATACAACCACTCCATGCAATGAGCAACTCCATTTGATTATATAGAAATTTAAGCTAATCGTAAGATAACAAGCTTAAAAGTATAACATACCTGAACTTGCTAGATCTGTTGTCACCTCCAATTAAACTAAATTAGATGAATCAATACCAGTCTTATTATCAAAATTATCTTATCATACCACATTGCTAGCAAAACCCAAGACTTCGTATTACTCAAACTCAAAATTTTCTGTCCTTTTCAGAAGACAATTGGAGGAATTTCATCAACCCATCATGCAAATCATGATAATTTACAAATTCAAGAACTGAAGCACATAGTAACTAGCTAAATGCCATAAATCAGTACATGAGCTTCCTTTTTGCAAAAATTATAAAAGATTCCAGGGTTTTACATGAGGTAAAATGTTCCTCATCCCAATCTGTTTGATGTCATGGACAGCATGCAACACAACTATATAGACCTTTGCAGGAATAAGTTAGCAAGATCTGAACATTTTGCAATTGTTTTTCAATGATATTATGCCCATGTTTGAGCCCCCTTGTTTAATTGAATATATAATAATATAACCAAAGGCTTTAAATTAAGCTAATCAGAGGATGCAAAATAAGTAAATTATGGCAAATAAATGTGATCAACTCAACTAATTGTTTATCAATAAATTAATTATGAGAAAAGTATTGGACCTTCACACCATCATCATCCTCTTAGGATGAGAAACTCTAAACTTTATGATTATAAGGAGTTACACGCAATTAAAGAGCCTGAGAAAACCCTAAATGTTATGATTATACTTTCAAACTTTATCAAATAGTAATAATTAAATTAAGTTAGTGACTTAGTGACTAAGTAAGAATGTAAGTAAATCTTTTCCAATTGTAAATCCTTCAAATTTTCAAACTTTCAAACTTTATCAAACAGCAATAATTAAACTAATTAAGAATGTACTTAGTGACTTCATATATTTTCCAACAGCAATAATTAAATAAAATCTTGATGATAAAAATAATGACGGTACTAAAGGTCTATTTGAGTTACATTATTCTAAAAAAATGATTCTTAAACAGTGATTTGGCATCATTTCAACCACTCATTATTCAATAAAATAATATTACACACAAATCAAAAATTTTTTCTTATTTTTTAACCACACATTTTACATCAATAAACTATTCAAGAATACATTATTACCAAAATAATGTGGATCAAACACCCCCTAAATAAATAATACAAACACCATCTAAAGAACTGACGGTTCACTGTTTAAAAGCACCATATGGCACACATTTTCTGCTATAGATCACAAATTCTGATGCTCCAATTCAATTTCAATATTCTACAACGTCCTTTGTGTCTTCAATATTCAATGTAGAATTTTTTGAGAGAAATTATTTTTTCCCCCTCAAAATTTTTGCTATAAATTGTTCAAAATAGGGAAAAAAATCCTTAAAAATAACGTGTTTGCAAGCCCAGTTTAAAGTGATCAACAATTTTAGTTCTCATTGTCACACATGAAAATGAATTCGTCAAGAAAGTTTGTTTTTATGCACCAAATTTATCCACGTGAAATTCTGATAGGCACTTCAAGTGTCACCAAGCTGTCTTCCTTCCATTCCGAGCTTCAAGTGGTGTGTTATTGCGTACTGCTTTGGTTGGGCCTTCGTAGATCAAGTATATGCATGGTCGAATGTAAAACTTCAACTGAATAAGTTTTGTGCATGTTATTCGTAAAGCATGGACTTGGTCTTGTCTACCATACCTTGATTATGCTTTTAGAAGCTAATTTGGTTTTGGAGGCTATTAAGGGATCAATCTCATATCGAATAAAGATGAAAATATCGGAATTAGGCTACCTCTCTTAATAAAATTGATATTTTAAGATGGAATCCTAAGTCTTTACAGATACTGACTCTGAGTTGTGCATCAAAGCATTTATCTTCAGTGAACTTGATTGGGGAAAAATTCGTAGCTGAAACCCCCTTTTTTATGCAGTGTTAGTAATCGATAAATAGGAAAATACCCATTATTTTCATAGGAGCACCTCCAAAGGATCAGACATTTCTGTATGCACCAATTTAAGCACTTCCTTTCCTCTTGAAGATCCTTCTTTTCAAAAAAGATTGTTTGTGATACTTTCCACGAGCACATCCTTCACTAATGTCAGAAGATCTTCTACTTTGAGCAAGCCATGAACCATGTTCTTCAGTTGAAATGATTTTAGTCTATGAATATTTATATGCTCAATCAATGTGTGTGTCCACATTATTTTAGGTATTTTGATTAAAAATCACAACAAATAATTTTTCTGTTTACTTTCATCAGACAGTGGTTAGAAAACTAAAATTAAGTTCTAAAGTATAGTCTTCGTGAAGCGATAATTCGGATTCAAATGTCCATAATATTCCTTGCAATAGAAAAAAATACAACACTAACTTTAATAAGAATAAATTTTTTTTATCAACTCATCCAAATAGAAAAGTAAGATGAGTACTCGACTCAATGGACCTTAGCTCGATCGACTTAGGAATTATAATTGAGGTAAGGTCTGTTTGGCATGATTTTTGAAGTCAAAATTTGATTTTGTTATTAAAAATATTATTTTTTAACATGTTTGAATAATTTTTCGAGTTTTATTTATTTATATATTTTTTATTTTTTAATCTAATTAGAAGATTTCTGAAAAAAGCAAAATCAACACTTTATATTATAAAGTTAATTTAACTTTTTAACATACAAAGAAGCGTGTTAAACAATCGTCTTTTTAATTTAACCCATAATAGGTATTCTGAAATTTCTTCATAGAAATAATTCCTCTCACTTTTATCCTTTTTTTCCTCGTCTAATAAACAAACTTGTACGAAAAGAACAAAAGCTGTGGCTCGGCGCGAGTGCTCACCACCGTTGTCAGCGTGAGAACCCCCATGCATTTTTTCCTCTTGTCGATCTTTGCTTTAGATCTCTTTTCTCTCTGCAAAGGTACTTTTTGCACGCTTGTGTACGGCATCAGAATTAAAATTCTGGGTTTTCTTGAAAGAATCTTGTTTATGTACTCAACTATCGAATGTAGATCGATATTAATTGCTTATCTATTGTATCTATGCCAATCATGATTAGGTTTCGTTAATTGAAGGAGAATTTAGTCAAATACAAAAATCAAAGAGAGAATGAAGGGTACCAGCGATTTTGTAGAATTGCTTGGACCAGATTTGTCAATGAAGATCATGATGTGTTTGGAGGATCCCTCTGATCTTGTTCGAGTCAGCGCTGTCTCAATTATGTGGCGTCAATTTGGTGAGTTTGATCGCCTCGGTTATTGCCTTTGTGCTCACTACACTTTTTCTGTTGCTTTTTTTAAATTTATATGAAAGGGAATTAGGTTTTTCGGTCGATTGAAGGCTCACTTGTGAAGTTTTATGTGTTGCCCACCTATGACATTGATATTGCTTTTATACGTGTTGTTTGGGTCTCAATGAATGCAAGATGAGGAGTGTGCAGAAGAGGATGTTCCATAGAATAATGGGAGTAAAAATCAAACAACGACATGTGTATTAGGATTCACATAGTGAGGCTTGACATTAGCTGCCAGCCTATTGCAACTCTCCTCTAATGGGAATTTGAACTGGCTCTGAAAATCATAGACAGAGTTAAAAAATGGGAATAATATTTGTCGTCAATAATGGCAGCGACAAGAGAACTGCTTCTTGTGCGTGAAAATAAGTCTGCTACATTTACTAGGATAAAACTAGGGATGATACCTTATTTGTGGAGTATGGAAATGTAAAAAATTGTTGGGTGAAAGGAGACATTTGCATTAAAATTTCTTGTAATTATAGTTATCTAGTTGTTACTCCTAGTTGATTATTCAGCTATGCATGAAGAAGATAAGCATATGTTTTGTGATTATTGTGTCCCTACTTTCCATTTGAAGACGCTGGAGAAGAACAACATAGAGCTTTATTTTGCTCTCACATTGACTTTGGAATTTTATGCAGTGATTGCTAATGGCCTATGTAGGCAACTCTGGCATAGAATGTTTCCTGAGGTATCAAACATTGATAACATTTTTGAAGTTAAAAATATGACTGAAGGCGTGGAATTCGAGCCAGATGATTCTACAGGAGGAGCTCATCTAGAGAGGGATCACAGAGTGTTTGCGTTTTTGACTCGAGGGCTTACTTCTTATATGAGAAATGATTGCATATCAGATGCTATATGTGCATCCAGCACTGATCATTATCCTCGTGAAAGCATAAAAAATACACTAGAACCAAGTGATGTTGTTGACGACAGACCATCATACTGGTCAAGCAAGGGCTCAATTGATGTTGCATTTCCTGAAACATTAATATATAGATTGGCTGCACGACTATGTGTGATTTCTGAAATTCATGTAAAGCCATTTCAAGGTCTTTCGCGAAGTTCTTTATACTCCTATTTTGGAACAATTGATATTACATCCTCTATGTTTACTGACTCAAAAAATGCTTTGGCATGGCACCAGCATATTTTCAGTTAGGGTTCCCTATATATTCATCTAAGGCTGTAAGATTTCTGGTGGGGCATCCAAAGGTTCCTTTGGACGTTCAGGATGTCGAAGAATTTTCAGATGACAAGTATGTATGGACATATACATCGCCAGAATTTCCAATGGCTCAAGTGAGTTACTTGTTTGGGCTTTCCCTTATAATTTTTCAGTTTCTGCTGTAATGTTTCAGGGAAGGATAACAATGAATATTTCTTTTTCACTGAATTTATCTTCACACAATTGTTGTCTATTTTGGGATTGTATGGACAAAAGTAGTCATAAAATTGCACCATGCTCTTTAACGTGTATTATTTATACATCATTTTAGCATGCAAATGGAGAACTCTTGATGATTATATTGAAGTTCTATCCAATTGTTCCATTAAATGCTCATAGATATGTGATTCTGGTTTATTTAAAAGCTTAGATTATGGTCATTGTGACATGACTTTAGAACTGTTTACCTGGTTTAACGGTGAATACAGGAGAATTTCTTGCAAAAATTTAAGCTGCCAAAACCTGTACTTTGCATCGGAGAAATTCTGAAAGTAGAGCTCTTGGGCAGAGTTCAGACACAAGAAACGGATGAACTATACTATATATGGTTAGTCTTCTAAGCCTTGTGCTATTATTATCTAGCAGTCCATTCTTATGGTAAAATCATTGTGGCAACGAGCAATCCCATTCAATTAATTCCATTTGCACTTGTGATGTACTTTAGAGTTGCTTAGCTGAATTGATTATTCCGAAAATGAAAATCCTTGCACATAATGGGGATTATACTTTGGATTAAGTCTCAATCCCCAGTTATGAGAGCAATACAAAATGAAAAAATAGGCCAGGCAGGTTCAGTTTGTAGTGGTTCACCATTATATGTGAGAGCTACATTGCATGATTTCGCGCTGCTCAGTCTATATCTCAATAAAAAAACAGGGGCCTCAATAATCTTTTATATATGTAGGAATATTAGGACAACCTTATACATATTGGAATAACTAATATGCTGTTGAACATGATCAGTGATTGAGGACAAGAGTATAGTATGATTAGATTCTACACTGTCCAATAGAGTCAACCATGCTACTAATGAATTTCTCATGCCCATATGGTGGAAATAAAAGAAAATGAGAAGAAAATTATAAACATTAAGCCCCCGTTTGGCCCCATTAAATTACATTCCATTATATTCTATTTTTTTCTCCTATTTTCTACTACACAATTTTCCATAAAAATAATATTACACGTGAATCAGAAACTTTTATTTCTTTTTCAACCACTCATTTTTCAAAAAAAACATTATTTCTCTCATTTTCATTACCAAAAAATGGGGGCCAAACGGGGCCTAAGACTTTGTCAGTGATTAGTTGTAGGAAATAACCCACTTTACAAATTTAAGTGGACTCTTGGAGTGTAGTGGCCCGCTGGCTGCATTGTCAATATATTGTGCACTTAACCTTTTGGAAAATGATATACACGTTTACAGCTCTCTCACAAAATGTGGGGCTCGCAATTATTTTAATCGTGAGCTCTACTCTTACATGTAAAAGGGCTGTCAAGGAAGCTGTTAAAAATGATGTACTTGTAGCACAACTGTAACCTTTTTTGTGGACCTTGTCCTGCGAGAATACTTTTGCAAATATGGTGCTTCCTACTAACATTCAGTCTTGAACATATCCAAATATCTTGATTGGAGTCTCTAAATTCATCCATTCTCGAGATATTGTTAGTGAACACAGGTGAACACCGGAATAAGAAAATTCTTTTCAATTATTCTCCTTAATTTTCTTACACTTTTACGCCTTAATTTATAATACAATGAGGTAGATGAAAAAAGGTAAATAATCTCCCAATTAAAGAAACAAAATCTAATTACTATATATACCACAATTCCATAATTATTAAACCATAATTACGGGATTTCTACCGTTAGTGACGCAATAACTATGTATGAGGTTTCTATTCCTTGACCACTAAACACTTGTTTTCTGGGAATAGTATCTAAAAAGAAGAATCATGTGTTGTTATGCATTTTCATTCCTGCTGAAACTTCAATATCAGTACTAAATCTTCGGTGATTTACGGTAGTCCAAAGTTTATGGCATGAATTCATTGTTAGTTATATTATGAAGTTAATGATTAATCATAATTTCTTTATGCTCAGCATTACACATGTTGAAGTGGTTGGTAGATTGGTTTTACCAGCATTCGATATCAAAATTCCAGAATTGGGAAAATGCTTATTGGAGTACCACCCTGAAGCTGCACATTCTTCATCACCTGCAAAATCTTCGCAAGGGGATTCAAGTAGCCCTTCACAGGTTTTAGCTAGTATATGGAGCTGAGAGCAAATTATCCTCTTTAACACATTCGAGGGAGACGATGGTGGAGAGTGACCATTGTGATGAAATCAACTGTATTACTATTTTAAGATCGTGTTTGGTACTGTAGTTGACAAATCTGTCAAGTATTATGTAAGCAATATAATAATAAGACTATTTCTAAATCAGGGTCACTTCTATAATAATCGGGAAGAAAAATTTACTAAAATTAATAATTTTAGACATGGTGCTATAGAGTTTAGATTTGTTGTCCATCCAATTAATTATTGACATATAATATTAAACTAACATGTCATCAACTTGGTGGGCTAGTGATGAAGGTAACGAGGATAAATTTGAGACAATGTGTTAATTTAAAAATGATGTATCTATAATTGACTGGGTGGATAACCAATTGGATAGTAGATCCATATTTAGTATTGTTATGGAACTTTTTGAATTTTTATGTTTTGGTATTGTCTTTTCTAGTTCATGTTTGAGTAATGTTATTAGCACCACTGTGGTCAAATATCAATCAAAGACAACAACTAACATCAAGCTCTTGTTTGAACCCCCCTTTTATTTGAAAATGTATTTTGAATTAGTGAGTTATTTTTTCAGTTTTTCTTTTTCTTTTATTTATTTATTTTTAAATGCATCGTTAAAAAATAGGGAAAGTTTTGTGTTTACATATAAAATTGTCTCGGGGGAGGATATTTGATTAAAAATGAATTACGAAAATGAGGCTCAAAATATGGTTGAATAATAGATTCATTTAAATATAATATCACATGATTTATTTAATTGAACATATAAAATATGACCATTGTGTTTTAACATCATTGATATTAGATAGCATTATTTTTCATGTTT